CACCAACTCTGCTGTGGATTCCTGGTGCCAACATTCCTTCACTGTTGATCCTCGCCAGCAAAGCATGTGCAAAGCTGGAACTTCATTTGACTTTCTCCAGATGGAAATGTACATGCACATTTTTAGGAAGTGTATATAAGGACAATGTCTAATGCGACAAAAAGAACTTGCCTCCATCCACTGCAGAGAATGAACATTTAAGGCTAAGCCTAATATTTCTGTCTGTTAGTCAAATAGGAAGATGAGCAAAAGGCCTTTTGCCCTGAATGATGCAAAGCTGGAAGTAGGGCAATCTCATCCCACTGAATGGGATCAAATCAGAAATCACTGGTATAGCCATGACCATAGACATGCGGAAGAATTAGTGTTTGTTTTTATATTATTGTTGTTGCAGCAGTAATAGGTGCTCTGAGAGCAATTCAAAATGGAGTAATAAAACTTCTACCCGAAACTACCTTGGTCCTTGGCTTACTTCAGCTGCTGAAAACTGAATTCAAAGAGCAAAAGTAGTTTGCACTCAGCTTATTCAGCAGGTGGGAGAAAAGAAAAGTCTTGCCCTTCCCAGTAGCTCAGGCAACAGCAAACTGCTTCAGCTTCTCCTAGCTTTTGAACAGAACATCTTATGCTGTGTGAGTCCAAATTAACTTCTTGAGATAAGCAAAAGGATTAAACATACCTTGTGCAGAGGAAAAAGGGAGCCTTGCCAGTTAATAAGGGCTTTCCTCAAAGAGCTCCCATTTTAAGTACAGCACCTGTGGAACTGTGCATTAGATGCTCTCTCAATCTCTCTTTCTTACAAACACATGTGTTACCCCATCTTTAATTTCCTTAAAATAGGACCAGTATTGCAAAGAAACATTTTCCCTTTCTCATCACTGCTGATTTTTGTTTATTTTTTGAGATATACATAAATTGTATATTTTAGGCCTAGTTTTACTGGATTTCTTCTCTCTGTTGCTTATTATTGCTGTGTGCCTTCAAGTTGTTTCTGACTTATGCTAATCCTAAAGTGACCCTATCATGGGTTTTTTTTTTTTTTGGCAAGACTTATTCAGAGGAAGTTTGCCATTGCCATCTCCCAAGGCTGAGGGGTTATTCAGATGGTGAAAATAACCCTGGTAGCATATGGATTGAATCTTTGTCATTCACATGCATTTCGAATGTACCCAAATATGTTGTTTTGGGGGGTGGGGGTTGCCAAAAACCCCCACTTAACTAAGGATAATCAACATTAGTTATTCTCTCTCCCCCCCCCCTCCGGAGTTTTCCTAAAAGATTTGCATTGTCAGCTGTGTGAATAACTGATGCAAACAGACCCAGGATAAACCAGGATAAAATTGTTCATGCCTTGAATATGTTTTGAATATGTCCACATCATCAGCTCCATCTTTTTTTGCAGTGCTGACACGTCTGAGTAACAGAACTCACAGAGATGCACATAGATGCAGTTCTGATAAAAAAATAATATTGTGAACAACAAAATTGGAATGCATGAATGAGATTATTCACATAGTTGCGCTAACAAAACCAACATCTGAATGACCCCTGAGAGCATGCAGTTTCATGGCCAAGCAGAGAATCAAACTCTGGTCTCCAGTGTCATAGTCCAACACTCAAACCACTATGCCATTCTGGCCCTTCCTTTTGATTTACTAATCTTCTCTGTGTACTAGGGCTGCATAGTATCATAGGAAACAAACCGCAACTTGTAGAGGTTGAACACTGGCAGAGATTTAACTGACTATTTATTTTGAGAGAATCTTTTTTTTTTCTGAAGAACTATGTTCCATTTATATTAACAATACAATCATACACCTACCTTCTCAGAGGTAAGCCCCAATGAGTTCAATGCGACTTACTACTAGTTAAATGTGTGCAGATTTGTAGCCTTGGGCATTCTAAAAGTCCATCAATGTCATGGAAAACCTACAAAAAGCACTTTACATTAATGGCCTTTTAGAATTTCTGTGTGACAAGAAATGACATTTTGATTTTAGAATAACATGTCATATAATACATGCAGGGGTAACTGTGTTGGCCATTTAGCAAATTCAAACAAAAATCCACCAAACAGTGATACCTTTATTGGCTGTATTGGTTGGCCAAAAACAGTATCACTGTTTGGTGGATTTCTGTTTAAATGTCATATAATATTTATTTATAGTTAATAATACTGTACACATAAATGTGCACACACAGAGTATTGCATTTACTGATTTGAAATTTTTTGGGGGGTGAGGGGTGAGGAAAACTTCAGTATGTAAATTCCAGGGTTTATCTGCTTTAAATTTTGTGTGTTCTTTCTCATTAATCACTTTTTGCCTTTTTGTTGCTTGACCACTCTTTGTATTGCTCATGGACACAGGTTTTCATTAGTGAAATGCTGGAGGGTATGAATTTATCCTGGAAGTCAGGTTCGTATTACATCTGTTCTTTAGGACTGGCCTCTTCTTTGCTGTTTTTAGTATTTATGATTATCACAGTTAAGAAAATAAACAAATGAATGCTTATTGCTAGCTCCTGCACTCCCCCTTTGCTGGATTTGAGAGCAAAACCTTTTGCTGGATTTGAGAGGACTCTGTCTGGTTTTTCCCCCCCATTCTCAGACATGGCAAAAGAGAATTGTTTTTTGTTTTCTTTTGTGGCTATGACCCAGGAATTAACTTGTCAGACTGTGTGGACAGACCAATCCCTTCTAATTGACATCTAAAATCCAGTTCCACGTGACAGCAATAGATTCTGGGATTTCACAGACAATTTCCCATTAATCCCAGAGTGACATCTTCTGGGCAGATGTATGATACACCTATTAAAGATGTCCAATAGGTTATTATCAGCTGAACTGGAAAATAACTATCAGAATGAAAAGTAATTGACATCTTCTGTCATCCAACAAACTCTTATCCTCAATATGAATTATAACTGTGGGAGAAGAGCTCTATAAAGACTCACTCTATTATATTTAATATATCATCATATAGATTCAAATGGCAGCAGCTGCCAAAACAAACATATTTTCACAGCTCTTCAGGAGGAAGGAACTTGAATGTGGATCCTACTTAAGTCCTTTGCACCTTAAACAAAGCACAATGCAGCTAAATGACCAGTTTTTTTTTTTTTGAGTCTGATGTGATTTACAGCACAACTATTAAGTCTCTTTAGACATTAATCCCATGTGACAAGTAATAGTGGTGATCATGGTAAATTACAAAGAGCAGGTGACTCATGATGGTCTTCAAAGGGAGTCCAAAACAAAAATAATACTAGTAATGCAGGTAACTCTTTTGATCCATATCTATATGTGTGTCAGAAAGACCTTGAACCAGTCATTGGTGTCACACAGAACTCTGTATGTCCCCCTGGGCTCAAAGGACGAAAGCTGGGAACATTAAAGCATATCTCAGGTGGGAAGAGAAATAAGAAAGTTAAGGAAAGCCAAGTTAAAGAAGTTAATCTTATAAGG